TGATGATGATGTATGATGCAAAGCATGCATGAGCATTTTATATCTGCGGGTGCAATGAACATAGCAGCAGCGTTGATAAACCAAGGACGAAGATATAAGAGAGGACACTTCTCTCTATTAGCTAGCTGTAATAACAACCTAAAAATAACCCCTAAATTAAGCAGCCACTTTAAAAAAAAATTGACTTTTGGTCCCGATTGGAGCCACCAACCGGGACAAAAAGCCCCCTGACAGGGGTGGGCGCACAGGGCCACGTGGAGGCATATTGGTCCCGGTTCTGATTTGAACCGGGACTAATAGGTGGAGGTATTAGTAACGACCCATTAGTCCCGGTTCATGAACCGGGACTAAAGGCCCTTACGAACCGGGACTAATGGCTGGTTTTCTACTAGTGTCCTCACCGTGCCGTTGACCTTCCAAATATCTCTGTCACAAGTCTGAACATCTGACTGGTCGACGGTCCCGACCGTCATCCTCACTCCGACATGGGCAGGTGAGAAAGGATTCTCAACAAGGAACAGATGAATTCAAGAATGAAGTAATTCTAATTGCCAAATTGCAGCATGGAAGCTTGGTTCCACTTCTTGAATGTCGTGTGGATGGAGATGAGAAGTTGTTGAGATATGAGTATCTACCAAACAAGAGCCTAGATGCTACCCTTTTGGGTACATATTTTTGTAATACAACATAATTCCTTTAAACAGCTAAAACAGTTATATTACATATTCTTGCAATTCCTTCTTTTTACAGACGATTCAAGAAAGTTGATGTTAGATTGGGCAAGGTTGCTAGGGGACTTCTCTGCCTCCACCGAGATTCAAGACTAACTACAATTCACAGAGATCTCAAGGTGGGAAATGTTTCGCTAGATGCAGAGATAAAACTAAGATAGCAGATTTTGGTATGGCAAGGATCTGGCGATGATAACCAACAAGATGCAAATACCCAACGCATTGTCGGTACATAGTCAGTATCTAATGAGGAAAACTGGTATTAGTATTGAATAATTCAATTCCCATTCAATAACTCTTGTAATTGAATGATCAAGCAGTGCCTATATGGCTCCTGAGTATGCAATGGAAGGTGTCTTCTCTACCAAATCTGATGTCTATAGCTTTGGCGTGTTACTACTAGAGGTTGTAAGTTGTAACTGGTATAAGGAGAAGCTCCTATACCGAAAAAGGGTTTCCCCCCGCTTTATAAATAAAGCACCAACACTTACATCCAAGTAACCGATACAAACGCACGCCACACAACCCAAGGCAAGATACAAGAATGCCGGGCACCGACACACAACTTCAACGACTACCAAGAATCAACAGAAATGAGCAAAAAGAACCGCTTGAAGCCGACGGAGACCACCATCAAGATGAGAGATCGTCCGGGAAGAAGTGCAACGGACCACGCCGGACCGAGGGTTCCAAGACGATGCCTCCAAGAAGGGCACGACCACGGACCGTCGCCATCGTCCGATCCAAAGATCAGGTTTTCACCCGGAACACGACGGGAGGAGTGAGAGCACCACGACGGAGCCTGCAGGGAGGAACACGACATCCGCGGACGCCGCCACCGTCGACCCGTGTACGAACAGGTAAGTGATGAACCCCGGTGCTCCACCCTTCCGCTGCATCCCCGGTCGGCCAACCACCTGCAACCATGCCACCCAAGCGGCCGTGGTTGCACGCCCGCATCCGAGTCGCGCAGTCCGCCTACGACCCACGCGACTCCCACCGCCAGGGCCGCCGCCCCGCCACCGGACCACCCCGAGAAGCCCCAAAGGTCACGTCTTGGACAAGATCCATGAGCCCATCCACCTCAGAACCGCCGGCGACCACTGCCTCAAGGGGACCCGAGCCCAGATGGCCGGGGGAAGGGGGAGGAGGAGGAGCGGCCGATGGCCCAGATCCGCAAGAGAGCACCGGCCACCGCCCGCTGCCGAGGAGGAGGGCGCACGGATCCGCCGAGCTGCATCCATGAAAGGCCACCGGGGAGGCCTTCCCGCGCCGAGCGCCGCCGTCCAGCCGCAGGGGCCCGGCTGGACAGGGGCCGCCCACCTCCACCGCTGCCGCGCCGCCCCTCCACCTGAGAGCCACGGCGAGAAGGGCCGCCCACAACCCGGTCGCCCGTGACCCGAAGCGCCAGACGAGGCGCCGAGGCGCTGCTGCGAAGCAGCCGCCGCCGCCACCACCCGCCGGCCTGCACCACCACCATGTCGCCTGTCGCCCAACGCCACGCCGCCGTCGCTGGCCTACTCCGGAGCGCCGCCGCACCGCTACGCCCGGCACGAGCGCAGCATCCCCACCGGCGAGATCCGGCCCGCGCCGCACCCCCCACGCAAGGAGACGAGATGGCCCCGCCGCCGCCGGCGACGACCGGGCTTCGCCCGCTCGTGCCCCTTGGCGGCGGCGAGGGAGGAGAGAGAGAAGGGGAGGGTGGCGGCGGCGGCGCTAGGGTTGCCCCCCGGACGCCCGCGGGAGCGTCGCGGGAGGGGAGGGGAGGTCTCGAGGTTTTGGAACTGGCACTAGTTAAAGCGTATCGAGAAGCTCCTATAGTCAAACCATGGTCTTCCGAAGCCTCACGGTCTATGGTAGTATGCACAACACTTATCTTGAATTTTGTTTACTGAAAGTGGATCAATTTTCTGAAGCAATTTTTAGCTTGTTCTAGTCATGGAATATGTGGAAGGAAGGGAAGACTACGGATTCGCCGGACTCATCTATCATGGATACTTGTTCACCGGATGAAGTTTTGCTTTGTGTCCATGTAGCACTCTTGTCTATCCAAGAGAACCCAGATCCTAGAGAATGGAAGCACTACACTTCCTGCCCCCAATAGCCCGGCTTACTTTGTGCGACAAGGCGCCAGATGGAGCAAATAGAAATTCATATTCAAACTTCCATGATTGGTGCTACTATTACCGAGATGGAGGGGAGATTATTGTATTTTCATTTTGTGATAATATGTCAAAATGCTCTTCGAAACTGTATGTATAACACAGCATCTCTTGTTTTGCAAAACAAAATTATCACACATTGTCAAAATAATGCCGGGCTCAACATAATTTCCAGGCATCATGTGTTGTTCAGAAGTTGTTATCTTCTTGAATGTGTTATCTATTCTGTTTCTGACATCGGCAACATTATCTGTAGCAGAACAAGATATGTATTAAGATACTTTAAGACAATTAGGGATGAGAAGAAAATACGGGCCCGGTAGCCGGCCTGTACCCGGTATAGCTTATATTTCAGTCGCTAGTCTGACTGGTAAGCAAGTGACGATGGCATCCCAACTCCGACGTGAACAGCTGAGATGTCAACTCCGTCCAACGCACACTCAACAAAAATTCCACAAGCTTTGCATTATTCAATCCTCAACCGAGATGTCAGTTATTACAATTGACAAGTGGTTCTTGTTCGTGAGAGTAGTATTTTTTGCTTTTGCTTGTGAGCAAGGCTCGATGCAAGCGAACCATCTTACCACCACCAATAGTATGGCCTACTAGCTACCGATGGATTGGCCGGCTCCCCCATTCTGCACCACCACTGCTGTTCTGATCATTCTCATCCTCTTGCCGTTGAGTGTGTCGGACGACCGGCTTGTCCCCGGTAAGCCGCTCTCCCCTGACTCAACCATCGTCTCCGATGGCGGTGCTTTCGCCTTGGGCTTCTTCTCGCCTTCCAACTCCAGCACTCCATCCCAGCTGTACCTCGGCATATGGTACAACGATGTTCCCGAGCTCACCACTGTGTGGGTGGCCAACCGAGAAACTCCGGCTACCAACACGACCACTCTGATGCTCTCCCTCACCAACACCTCCAATCTTGTTCTATCCAACGGTGATGGCGGTGGCCGTGCCATTTGGATGACGACCAACGTGGCTATTGCCATGGGTTCGTCTCCCCCTGTGGCAGTGCTTCTAAACAACGGCAACCTCGTCATCCGGTCGTCGAACGGCACCACGTTGTGGCAGAGCTTTGACCATCCCACCGACACGTTCCTCCCTGGTATGAAGCTCCGGATCCGGTACAACAAGCCTGGCACTAGTGACCGCCTGGTTTCTTGGAAGGGCCCTGGCAACCCTTCGTCGGGGCGCTTCTCCTACGGCGGCGATCCAATCACGTTCCTCCAAGTAATTCTTTGGGACGGGGAGCGCCCGGTTTCCCGCAGCGGGCCATGGACAGGGTACTTGGTGAAGAGCGAGCGCCGGTACCAGCAGGAGAACACCAGCATGGACATCATCATCTACCTGGCCGTTGTGGACAGCGATGAGGAGATCTACATCACCTACAGCCTCTCCGACGGCGCCCCACACACCAGGTACGTGTTGACCTACTCCGGAGAGTACCTAGTCCAGAGTTGGAGTAGCAAAACATCAACGTGGTTAGTCCTTGGGAAGTGGCCATTCCCCGAATGCAACCGCTATGGTTATTGTGGCACATACGGCTACTGCGATGAGACGGCGGCGCCAATGCCGACGTGCAAGTGCTTTGATGGCTTCGAGCCGGCAAACACGGTGGACTGGACCAATGGTAGGTTTTCAGCAGGGTGTCGGCGGAAAGAGCCACTGCGAGGGTGCAACGACGGCTTCTTGGCCCTGCCGAGGATGAAGTCTCCCGACAGATTTTCAATTGTGGGCGGGGGCACGAGTACGTTCGAGGAGTGTGCGGCTGAGTGCAACCGCAACTGCTCGTGCGTGGCATACGCGTATGCTAACCTCGGCAGCGGCAGGTCCAGGGGAGACGTGACCAGGTGCTTGGTGTGGTCTGGGGACTTGGTTGACACTGGGAAAATAGGCGAAGAGCTTGGTAGCGACACACTCTATCTCCGACTTGCAGGCTTGGATGCAACATCTGGTAACAAATCCCTCCCTCTATACTAGCTATGATTGTTTTTCTTTATGCTGTGTATGAATTTATGTATTTTGCAGGTAAAGGAACAAAGAGGAATGTTCTGAAGATTGTGCTGCCAGTTCTAGGAAGCAGTTTTCTGGTATTTGTATGCATTTCATTGGCATGGTTAAAACTCAAAGGTACACTTACTATTATGTTACGATAATCCATATTTACTTACCAGAGTTTGGTGTCTACGTCTATATACACTGTGTCCTTGGGCTTCAAACCATTGAACCCACACAAAGTAGAGCGAAAAAATTGCTCTTTTAGATGTTAATATATTTTCGATAGATTTGATCAACCTTCAAATTTTGACTTAGGACAAAAATAGAACTTCAATAAATATGGAATGGAGGAAGCAGCAGCTATGGGCATGTTGTGAGCTAAGTTTTCTAAGCAAGTGGTGGCTACGTTTCCTGGTTTCAACTAATGTTTTAGCTCCTTCCACCGTGTACCGAATAATGTAAAGTAGCCATCAATTTCTTTCTGACTGCGATTTCCTCTGTTTCTCTGGACTGCTGCAACTTCTCGTAACTGACATATTGACCTGTTAGTTTATTTTACTGCGTGGGACTTGTCTTCTAATTGAACTGGTTCTAGGATAAAAGCTGTAAGACTCCTACCTTCCAATGGCTCACCTCCACCATAAAAAGGCTCCCCTTGGAGCCTGTCCATCCCTCGAAATATCAATAACTACCCAAAAAAGTATTTTTAGAAAGTTACACTATCTAAAACTTCCTATAAAATATGTGACTCCTTCAAATATGACGAGATAAGTTTAGGGAGGAGCAAATTCTGCTTATATTCGAGAAAATCTTGCTCCCTCCCTATCCTAGCCCTATCCCACCAAAAAGTGAGTTGTATTCAAGGAAGGACTAGGAGCAAAAAAAATTGGACCCCTCAACTTTTGAGGAGTTAAGTTTCAAGATATAGTATATGGAGTGAAGTTTTAGGGTAAGAGGTAGTGATGTTCTAAGACTATTATTTTACTGTATTGAACATTCCATAAGATGGGAGTCCACATGCCAGAAATCATACTCAACATGGACATGTTTCAGAAAACAAGAGGAATGGTTGGTCACTATATAATGGACTAAAAAAATGTATGTATTTGTTTGTGTGTGTACACCAGCATATCGGGCAAAAATGGGAGTAAGGGCGACAACCAGAGAGAAATGGTATTTCTTTAGTGTGTACTTTATCTAAAATGTCAAGTCGTGGCCATATTAAATCTATAGTTTTCCACATTGATAGAAGTTCCCCATGGGTTGTTTGATCTAGTTGTGTGAGTCTCTAAAGTGAATAGTGGACAAACATCAACAATTTGAAGGGTCAAATTAACTATTTATGAGTATTATTTTCTCATCTGAGATACTTATTAGGGGTTATAACATTGTGGGAGCAGGCAAGAGAGAAATATGGATAAAACACAAGAATGTACCATTGGATGGTATGAGTACCTCTTACGAACTTAGTGAAGGAAACCTTTCCCATGACCATGAATTCCCATTTGTAAGATTTGAGGAAATTGCCTTCGCAACGCATAGTTTCTCTGAAACATGTATGATTGGACAAGGAGGCTTTGGCAAAGTTTACAAGGTAAGTCATTTAGTAGTTTTCTAATATTCTTATAAATCAACAAAATCGAGTGGTTTACATAACAAACATAAATCAAGATCTTAACTTAAAATTTTCCAGGGGTTGTTAGGTGGGCAAGAAGTTGCTGTCAAGAGGCTAAGTAGGGATTCTCAACAAGGAACAAAGGAGTTTAAGAATGAAGTAATTCTAATTGCCAAACTACAACACAGAAACTTGGTTCAACTTCTTGGGTGTTGTGCAGAAGGGGATGAAAAGTTGTTGATTTATGAGTATCTCCCGAACAAGAGCTTAGATGCTACACTTTTTGGTACAAATTCTAACAACACACCATTTTTGTAAAACAACTCAAAAACATGTTTGCTAACATTTTCATCGATATATATGTTTACAGATGGTTCGAGAAAAATGTTACTAGATTGGGTGACACGATTCAATATAATCAAAGGGGTCGCAAGGGGGCTTCTTTACCTACACCAAGATTCAAGACTGACCATAATTCATAGGGATCTTAAAGCTGGAAATGTTTTGCTAGATGCAGAGATGAAACCCAAGATAGCGGATTTTGGTATGGCAAGGATCTTTGGAGATAACCAACAGAATGCGAATACCCAACGTGTTGTCGGAACGTAGTAAGTATGCTTTGTGAAACACTCATACTAAATTTTGGATCAATCCAACTCCCTTTCGGTAATTGTTGCAATTGAAATGATCAAGCAGTGGATACATGGCTCCTGAGTATGCAATGGAGGGTGTCTTCTCTACGAAGTCCGATGTCTATAGCTTTGGCGTGTTAGTATTGGAGGTCGTAACCGGTATAAGGAGAAATTCCAGTAATCAAACCATGGGGTTCCCTAGCCTCATAGTCTATGTAAGTACACACATGACTTCCCTCAAGTTCCATTTTGAAGGTGTATGAGTCTCTGAAACAACGTTTAGTTGGACATACAAAATGAAAAATAATATGATGTTCTTGGTTGTTTCAGTCATGGAATATGTGGAAGGAAGGGAAGACTGAGGAACTGCCAGACTCATCTATCATGGATACTTGTTCACTAGATGAAGTTTTGCTTTGTATCCACGTAGCACTGTTATGTGTCCAAGAGAACCCAGATGACAGGCCACTCATGTCATTAGTCGTGTTTATCCTAGAGAATGGAAGCACCACACTTCCAGCCCCCAGTCGCCCTGCCTACTTTGCGCGGCGAAGCGTTGAAATGCTGCAAATTGCAGATGATATTCAGAACTCTGTGAATAGTTTTACTCTGACTGAGATACAGGGGCGATGAAACGACAGTTCTTCTGTCCTATATGTATTGAACATATTATCAAAAGATGTCTGGCTAAACAAAATGGCTATGTAACACATCTGTTGTTTAGTAGTCATTACCTTTGAATCTAATTTCGGTTCCACTTTTGGCCTTGATAAATAGCAGCCTCAGTTTCGAAGATGAAAAAAAAAATGTTATCATGCATACACAAATTTCAGCAAAAACATATTGATGAAAGTGATTTCACACTTATACAAGTGATAGATTCAGTGACTATTTGGTTGAAACGTGCTGTCATTTCTCTAGTCCCTTTGGTTGCTTTGCTTTGGCTTTTATTTGTACTCCAATTTAATTATGTTTTTCGGCGAGAGAGCATCCTGTTGCTAATTTGTGTTTTTAACACTTCCTGCTCCTAACTTCATTTCTCAAGGAAACTATAACCAAGACAGGTCCAGGAAATAAGAAACATGAGTACAGGACCGTAGGCTTCCAGCTAGTAACCACCATCAGTTCCCAAAACAGCTCTAAGCATAAGCTACAGGAGTCTTACCAGCTGATACAAATGGGGTTCTTTCTGCATATTCTCCAGGACACATATTCTATCCTGGTGTCTGTACTCTGTTATTTGGTTAATGTAATGTGTGTGGTTTCTCTCAAATAAAAAACAAGCTACGTGAACAAACAAACGATGAACTGAAAGAGGGCGCTGCCGCCATCATTGTACAGTTTGATCGTTTTCTCAGTACCTCACCGGAAGAAATCCAAATTAATAGTCGATCCTAGTGCTACAGTATTCCGTGAACAAAAATGAAAAAAAAAAAAAAACTGACTAGGCGCAAGGCATGCAACACCAGAGGAACCAAGACATGCCTTCAGCATCAGGTTGATTCAATATTGGGAACGTGGTGGATTTCCCTCCAATTATCAGGAACATGCCAAATGATGAAGTTCTAGATTTACTATGGTGTAATAATCATGCTTCATAGTTTAATCATGTGATTTTATTTTCTAACAAGGTCTGGAGGCTGGAGCAGCCGGGACGGTATAGGTTACTATTTCAGTCACTAGCCTGACTGGTAAGCAAGTGACGATGGCATCCCAACTCCGACGTGGACAGTTGAGATGTCAACTCCATCCAAGTAACACACTCTCAACTACTCCTGTCCAAAAGACTTTGAATTATTGAAGCATCTGCTTCCGCAATCCAACATGTAGATAGATCATAGATGGGGATCTTGTCGTTCGCCTTCGTCAAACCATTTTCTTGCTTGTGACCAAACCGCAATGCAAGACACACACTTAGAAGTATCCATTCTGGCCTGAACTACGGATGGATTGTCCGGCTCTCCCATGCTTCACGAAGATAGCAGGGCTGGTCCTTCTTATCATCCTGCCGTTGAGCGCGTCCGAAGACCGGCTTGTCCCCGGTAAACCACTCTCCCCTGGCGCCACCATCGTCTCCGACGGAGGTGCCTTTGCATTAGGCTTCTTCTCCTTGTCCAACTCCAGCACCCCGGTCCGGATGTACCTCGGCATCTGGTACAACGACATCCCTGAGCTCACGGTTGTGTGGGTCGCCAACCGAGAAAACCCGACCAGCAACACGACTACCCCGATGCTCTCCCTCACCAACTCCTCCAATCTTGTTCTATCAAATGGTGATAGCGGTGGCCGTGTCATTTGGACAACGACCAACATGCACTAGTAGAAAAACACCTAATAGTCCCGGTTCGTAAGGGCCTTTAGTCCCGGTTCATGAACCGGGACTAATGGGTCGGTTCAAACACGAACCGGGACCAATGTTCCTCCACGTGGCCTTGTGCGCCGAGCCCAGTTAGGGGGTTTTTGGTCCCGGTTAGTGGCTCCAACCGGGACCAAAAGGCATCCACGCGTCAGCATTCCAGTGGCTGGGGTTTTTGTTATTTTTTTTGAAAGGAGGGGGGGGGTTGGGGGTTTTGGGGGGTTAATTTAGGTGTTTCATATATTGTGTTAGCTAGCTAATTAATAGAGAGAAGTGTCCTCTCTTATGTCCGTGTTTGGTCGACGCTACGTACTATATATACATAAGTGATCGAGAGAACCGTCGTGCATACCGAGAGAAGTGATCGATCGACCTCTCCTTCTCCGAGAGATTGGTCGAACAACAAGTTTTCGTATATCATGTATCTGACGCTACTGGCTACATACATGTACAATATGTATAAGATCTCTTAATTACAATCCCCTAGCAATGGAAATCAATTTCCACATGGTATTCTCCGGCTTTATTGATGACGTGGTCAAGAAAGAATCCCGCCAATTCTTCTTGAATTGCTTTCATGCGATCTGGTTCTATGAGTTCATTCCGCATCTGCCACGTCTAATTTGAAGAAGGGGGTTAATTAATATATATATATATATATATATATATGAATGAAACTCAACAGAAATGATGGTGTAATACAATGAAATTGTGAATATTATTGCTTATGCACTTCATATTGTCTTTGAGAGTAGCCCCGCTTGTTTTTCAAAGTCGCGTTGTGGATGAACTCGCACACGTAGTATCCACAAAAATCATTCCCTTCTTCCTGTCACAAGCACTTTACGAGAAATAGATGTCAATCAAACTGATAATGAAGCATTATAAATGGCGTTGATGAAAGTATAGTTATAGAATCAACGGGAGATGCGCGCAACTAGCTAGCCAGTAGTACTTACTTTCGGGTATGTATATCGCATCTCCTTCGGCAGTCCCGGAGCTTCTGCGGTGAACTGTTTCCAAACCCTGTAAGACAAAGAAAATAATTATTATTACTTGAGATATCAGGAAATGAACAAAAAGTTGCCGATATGGTGCGATAATGATCGATTGAACTTACTTGCTGAGCATTTCAGTCATGTCCGCATAGGATTTGGGATATTTCCGTCTCGAGTCTAAGACGGTTACTGGTCCACGCTCAAGCTTAATCTCCAGAAGAATATAGTGGTACCTGCGCACGCATGCATAACTCATCAATTACATTACTATAACCTCGCTCGAGTAATAAGGGAAACCGAATATGCACACGACAGTAACACTCACTTGCCGTTGTAAGGAAAGAGTATGGTATCTTTGTTTTGATTTTTGATCAACGATTGTAGCTCGTTGTCCTCGGCCTCTTTGATGTCCTTTTCAACCAGAAATTCATCTATGATATTTGTGTTAATGAAACCAATATCATAAATTTCTTGTTTTTTTGCACTCAATGATCTTCAATCTGCATAATATATTGAGGATAATTAATTATAAATACATGAAATGAAGAGCCGAGCTATATATAGAGACTTAATGACAGAAATAGTACTTACAGACAGTAGCAAAAGACCATTAGTTTATCGAGGGCCTTTTGATTGAAGAACGCGAAGAACTCATCAAATGGAACAGTCAACAGATCATTTGTAACGAGGTCGTGCTCCTCTTTAATATGCAGATACAAAGCATTCGTACCCTCAGACGTTTTGCAGGTTTCCATGTACCAATTATGGAATCTTCCCATCATTGTTGTCAGAGATTTTTCATCTTTGACGAGAGGCTTCCCGTACTCGTATCTGTGTTCGTCCACCTCCAAGAAATCAGGAAGTGCATCGTCAGGCAGGTAATCTTCAAGATTGCCATAACCGGCCACCGTCCCCGGAGCATTAGACACATTGAGCGGGGGGCACGATTGCTGTGCTTGTTCGCCGAGCTAGGCAATTTTTTTCCCCTTTGCTCATTCTTTTGACCTTTTAGCACTGACAGTAGTTCCCGACCGCTGGGCTTGGAGATATGTCTGTTCAGTAATGCGCTCATAGTTGGTTCTCGGCGGAGACTTTGGTGGTTTCCTCAGGGCATCGATAGTGCGCTTTGCTTTCACCGGATCTACCTTCTCCTCCGGAGGTGGATGTCTCTTTGCTTTCACCCCTTGAAAGAACTCCTTCACATGGGTCCGCACAATCGTATTGTTTTCCTCTTTGGACCTCTCGTACGGTAACTTCTCTAGAGGCTTGAGAGATGGACCGTATTTGTATTGCCTCCCGCCTCTAGTTGTGCTGCTAGACGCCGGAGTAGACGGAGCGGCTGCGGCGTCTGTCTTCTTTCGTGCTTGCTTACGAGGCGGAGGAGAAGGAGTACGACGCGCCGGAGCAGCTGGGGCGGCGGCGGGTCTCTTCCGCCCTTGCTGGCGAGGCGGAGAAGGAGGATGCTGCTGGCTGCTCGGGAGCGCCGGCGCAGGCGGAGAAGGAGGCGGAGTGCCGCCACGCGTGCCCTGATCGTCACTCGCCGGAGGAGGAGACAGTGGAGGAGGCGGAGTGCCCTGACTCGCCGGAGGAGGAGGAGGATGCGGAGGCGTCCAGTTCAGAAGGTTGATGAGCTCCTTCCGCCATAGGCATGGAGTCTTTAGAGCACAACCCAGCCTAGTCTCCCCTTCACCGGTAGGGTGCTCAAGCGGGAGGTCCTCAAATCCATCCGTTATTTCATCCACCATCACCTTACCATATCCTTATGGAATCGGCTGGCAGTGATAAGTTGTGCCGGGTCCACTAGGATAAACTTGGCCAACAGCCGCCTTGACCTTCAAATTCATCCATCGCGCCATAATGTGGCAATTTTGAGACTCCATGATACCATCCACGGGATAGCTGGCAGCAGCCGTCAAGACATGCTCTGGCTGAAGCAGCTCGGTGGAAGCTACGCTGCTTCTCCACTGAGATGGCGGGGTAGCTTTGGGGGAAGCTTCGGCAGGTCGTTTGCTGCGATCTGCTGCTTCTCGTTCCTCTTCTCGATCCTCTAGTCCCATTACCCTTTCGTGCAGCGCCTGCAGTTGGTCCTGCTCCAGTTTCTTCCTCCTCTCGTGGGTTTTGTAACCCCCTGCGTCCGGAAAACCAACCTTCCATGGAATGGAGCCTGGCGTGCCTCATGTCCGTCCAGGGTGCTCAGGATTCCCAAGGGCCATTGTGAGCTCGTCCTTCTCCCTGTTTGGAAGGAACGTCCCTCGCTGCGCTGCATCAATATAGTGTCG